AGCTGAGACAGAAGGATCATTGTGAGTTTGAGACCAGCCTGGGCTACAAAGTGAGCTCAAGGCCAGCCTGAACTGCATAGCAATAGCAAGACCCTGTCTCAACAAGATAAAAAAAAAAAAAACCAAAAACCAAAAACCAAAAACCAAACCAAAACAAAGCAGAAAAACAATTTGGGCACCTAGAAAAAAGGTTCTTTATAACCTGGGTTCTGCACTTTTTTGGGGGGTTCTGTACTTTTTTTCTTTTGGTACTGGGAATCGAACTCAGGGTCTCACACTTGCTAGGCAGGTGCTGTGCCACTGAGCTACATCCCCAGTCCCCCTGTTTGTTTGTTTTAGTTTTTTGAGTCAGGGTCAGGTCTTGCTGTATAGTCCTGGCTGATCTTTTTTGTTTTGTTTTCTACATAGTTCAGGTTGGCCTTGAACTCGCTATGTAGCCCACGCTAGCCTTAAATTTGCAGTGATCCTCCTGATTCAGCTTCTTGAGTATGGATATTACAGGTGTGCACCACCACACCTGGCTATTATTTTATTTTTTATTTTGAGACACAGTCTTGCAAAATTCCCCAGGCAGGACTCAAATTTGAGATCCTCCTGACTCAGTCTCCCAGAGTGCTGGAATTATAGGCATGAACCATTGTGCCCAGCTACTTCTTTTTTTTTTTTTTTGAGACAGGGTCTTGCTGTATAGTTCAGGCTACTCCTGAAGTAATTATATAGCCCAGGCTGGCCTCAAACTTGTGGCAATCCTCCTGCTTCAGCCTCCCAAGTGCTGGGGTTACAGGCTTGTATCACCACACCTGGCTGGTTTTTTTGAAGAATTATAGCCAGTCTAGTAGATATAAAGTGGTTTCTCATTCTTTTTTTTTTTTTCCAGTACTGGGAATCAAACTCATGACCTTGTGCTTGCCAGGCAGTCCCTGTGCTGCTGAGCTAAATCCCCAACCCTCATTATTGTTGTGATATGTATTTCCCTAGTAACTAATGATTTGCGGCATCTTTTCATATGCTGCTGGCCATTCATATATCATCTTTGGAGAACTGCTTATTCAAGTCCTCTCTCTCTCTCTTTTTTGGCAGCACTGATGATTGACTCCAGGACCTTTGCACTGAGTTACATTCCAGCTCTTTTTTAAAATTTTATATTTTGAGACAGGGTTTAACTAAATTGCTAAATTGCCCAAACTAAGCTTGAACTTGCCATCCTTCTGCCTGGCTAAAATTTTGTTCATTTTCTTTCTTTCTTTTTTTTTTTTTTTAGAAAGGGTCTCTCTGTGTATTTTATTTTATTTTTTTCACTGTGTAGTTTAGAATGGCCTTGAACTCACTATGTAGCCCAGGTGGCCTTAAACTCATAGTGCTCCCCATGCCACAGCCTCTCTAGTGCTAGGTTTATAGGTGCGTGCCACCATGCCTGGCCCAAAAATTTATTCTGAACTGGACATACAAAAATGTGGCAGGGCGTGGTGGCACATGCCTATAATCCCAGCACTTAGGAGGTTGAGGCAGGAGGATCATGTGGGTTCGAGGCCAGCCTGTGCTACAAAGTGAGTGCAAGGCCAGCCTGAACTGCATAGCGAGATCCTGTCTCAAAAAAAAACCAAAAGGTGTCCAAACATATGCACAGCCTGGGGATATAGTTCAGCAGGCACAAGTGCCTGCCTAGTGAGTGTAAGGTCTGAGTTCGATTCCCGGCACCAAAATAAACCAACAATGAAAAACAAATATATGTACATATTTATGGGAGAATGTATGATGTTTGAACACATGTATATATTGTAAAATGTTTAAATCAAGGCAAACATATCTATCTTCTCAAATATTTATCATTACTTTTTGCAAGGCATTCAAAGTACTTTCTTCTAGTTTTTTGAAATACACAGCATATTATTATCTCTAGTCACCCTCTTGTAGAACAGTACACCAGCGTTTCTTACTCGTAACTACATCCTAGTACTCAATCATCAACTCTTTCCCATCCCTCCCTCTCCCCTACTTTCCCTCTGGTCATTACCACTATACTCTCAACTTCTTTTTCATCAACATGTTTATATTTCACACACATAAGAACATTTACTATGTGTCCTTCTGTGCCTGGCTTATTCCATTTAACATAATGATCTCTAGTTCCATCCATAGTGTCATTTAGCATTGCTTGACTGATGATTTGATTTAGTACTACTACGGACTGAACCCAGGAAATATCAAACTAAATCTCCAGCTCTTCTTATTTTAAATTTTTTTTAGATTTTGAGACAGGATCTGTTTAAATTGTTCAGCCTGGCCTCAAACTTGAGATCCTCCTGCGTTGGCTTGTGGAGTAGATGGGATTACAGGAGTGTACCACCATAACCAGCTTGCATGTCATTCTTTTTTTACAGCTTGATAATACTATATTGTGCATATGTTCCACATTTTCTTTATCCATTCATTAGCTGATGGACACCCAGATTGTTTCCATTTCTTAGCTATTGTGAATAGTGTTGTAGTAAAGGAGAATGCAAATGTCTCGTCAGTATACTAATTTCATTTCTTTTGCATATATACCTGATAATGAGATTGCTAGATCATTTGGTAATTCTATTTTAATTTTCTGAGATATAATGTAGGCTCTTAAGTTTAGGTCTTTGATTTTTTAAATTAACTTTTGTATGTTAGGGTAAGCAGTTTCAGTTGTATTTCTGTATAGTTGCACTTTTATATGTTAGGGTAAGGGTCCAGCTTCATTCTCCTTCCTTCTCTCCTTCTCTCTTTTTTTTTTGTTTTGCAGCCCAGGCTGGTTTTGAACTCGCAAGGATCCTTCTGCCTCAGCCTCCCAAGTTCTGGGATTACAGGCGTGTGCCACCACGCTTGGCGTGCTTCATTCTTCTATATGTCCAGCTTTCCCAGAAATACCAAGTTTGGTGGCATATACCGTAATCCTAGCACTCTGGGAGACTGAGGTGGGAGGATTATAATTTGGAGCCCAGTTTGGGGAATTTAGAGATTTAGTGAGACCCTGTCAAACAAACAAAAAAAAAGAGAGTGGGGTGGGACTAAGGATGGAGATGCAGCTCAGTGCAAAGACTGTGAGTTCAATCCTCAGTACTGAAAAAAAAATTCTTTGTTTTTTTGAGACAGGGTTTCACTATGTAGTTCAGGTTGGCCTTGAACTCACAGCGATCCTCCTGGCTCAGCCTCCCAAGTCCTGAGATTATAGGTGTATGCCTCCATACCTGGCAGAAAAAAACATTTTTTTTAAATAGGTTGTTGTTCTTTCTTCTTATTTAATGGTATTGGCATTCTAGTTGAAAACTAATTGATCTTGGCTGGGTATGGTGGCACACGCCTGTAATCCCAGCACTCAAGAAGCTAAGTCAGGAGGATCCTTGGGAGTTCAAGACCAGCCTGTGCTACAAAGTGAGTTCAAGACCAGCTTGAACTGCATAGGAGACCCTGTCTCAAAAAGATTAAAAAAAAAAAAAACAATCAACCAATTGATCTTAGACATGAGGAGTTACCTTTGGGCTGCCAATTACATAACATTGATATATATCTGTCCTTATACTAGTATGATGTTTCAATTACTATAGCTTTATAATAAGTTTTAAAAATTAGGAAGTTCATTTTGTTTGTTTGTTTGTTTGTTTTTCTTTCTGGTACCGGGAATTGAACTCATGACCTTGCGCTTGCCATGCAAGCGCTGTGCTGCTGAGCTAAATCCCCAGCCCTAACTGTGTTCTTTTTCATAATTATTTTGTTTATTTGGATTTCCTTGAAATTTCAGCTGATTAGCCGGGCATGGTGGCGCACATCTGTAATCCCAGCACTTGATAGGCTGAGGCATGAGGATCCTTGCAAATCTGAGACCAGCCTGGGCTACAAAGTGAGGTCAAAGTCAGCTTGAACTGCCTAGTGAGACCCTGTCTCAAAAAGACCAAAAAAAGAAAAAAAAGAAATTTCAGGATGGCTTTTTCCACTTCCACAAAAAATATCATTTGGATTTTTATAGGGGTTATATTGAGTGGGTAGATCATTTTGCATAGTATTATTATCTTATTAATATTACATCCTCCAATCCATGAATATAAGATGTTTCTTAATTTAGGTCTTTCGTTTTTTGGTTTTGAGACAGGGTCTCACTAGTAGCCTAGGCTGGCCTCAAACTTGCAGTCTCAAACATCCTCCTGCCTTAGCCTCCCAAGTGCTAGGATTATAGGTGTGTGCCACCACACCTGACTTACTTAGGGGAGAAGCCTTAAATCTTTCATCACAGGTAAGCTGTGGGTCATATAGATATATATGGTCTTTATTACATTAGGAAGCTCCCTGTTATTCCTAGTTTTTTGTTTTTTCTTTTGAGACAGGGTCTCATTATGTAGTCCAGGCTGGCCTTGAACTCCTAGCAATTCTCCTGTGTCAGCCTTCCAAGTACTAGGATTACAGACATGCGCTGCCATGCCCGACTTGATGAAAATTTTTGACAGATACTCCCTTAAGACTATGTTGTTCCTGCTGGACATGGTGGTGCACACCTGTTATCCCAGCACTCGAGAGGCTGAGGAAGGAGGATCATTGTGAGTTTGAGACCAGCCTGGGCTACAAAATGAGCTCAAGGCCAGCCTGAACTGCATAGCGAGACCCTATCTCAAAACAACAACAACAAAAAAGTATGTTGTTCCTAATTTAGAAATTTATTTATTTATTGTCTTTTTGAGACAGGGTCTCACTATGCAGTTCAGGCTGGCCTTGAATTGACTTTGTAGCCTAGGCTGGCCTCGAACTCGCAATGAACAATCCTCCTGCCTCAGCCTCCCAAGTGCTGGGATTACAGGCATGTGCCACCAGGCCCAGCTCTAATTTAGAAATGTATATGAATAATGTGCTGAACATTAAAAAAGTATACTGAACATGAAACATCTGGGAAAGAGTCCTACAAACAGTTACAAAAAAGAAGGGATGAGCAGGTAGAATACACTAATCTGTGCCTGTACAGGCTTCCCTCCTACTTTTAAAATTACCTGATACTGTGGCCATATCTGATTTTGAACTTATACACACTGGGTCCTGCATGAAGAAACCTCGTCTCTGGAAATGGGTAGGTAAAGGGTTTTAAACTCATTGCATCCAAATGGTAGCCTAAATAAAGTAGAAATAATAGAGAATTATTAAAAAGGCCTGAATAATCTGTAGCATCTTTTCACAAGTAAAATGCTCAACACTCAGCACCACTGTCCATGTACCAGGCTCAGCTCTGTTATTTATCACTTGAACCATTCTCCTCCTTGCATGGGGTGGGAGCATGGTATGTTGGGAGGACCTCTATGTTTGGAAATAAACAACCAGAATTTAAGTTTTACTGTTTTTTTTTGTTTTTTCTCCGGTACCGGGAACCGAACTCACGACCTTGTGCTTGCCAGGCAGGCGCTTTTGCCGCTGAGCTAAATCCCTAGCCCCTAGAAAAAAAAATTTTAAATAAACAGTAAAACTTGGGCTGGGGATTTAGCTCAGCAGCAAAGCGCCTGCCTGGCAAGCACAAGGTCGTGAGTTCGGTTCCCGGTACCGGAGAAAAAACCAAAACCAAAACAAAACAAAACAAAAAAAAAAAATTTTTTTTTTTCTGGTACTGAGAATTGAACCTAGGACCTTTGCACTGGACTACATCCCAGCTCTTTTTATTTTTATTATTTATTTACTTTTTGGTATTTTGGAATCAGGGTCTTGCAATGTAGTTCAGGCTGGCCTTGAACTCACTATGTAGCCAGGCTGGCCTCTAACTCATTGCAATCCTCCTGCAGAAGCCTCCCAAGTGCTAGGATTGCAGATGTGCACCACCACCATGCCCAACTTTGTTTTTTCCCACTGGTAACCAAAATCTGGACCTCAAGTTTGCCAGGCAGGCCCTATGCCACTGAGCTATCTCCCTGGCCCCTAGTTTACTTATTTATTTATTTTTTTTATTGAGACATCATCTCCCTAAATTGCTAAATGTCCAGGCTAGGCTCCAACTTGTGATCCTCCCATTCAGGCTCCCAGAATGCTGGGATAACAGGCATGCACCACTATACCTAGCTTCCCAAATACTTCTAGAATCTATTCTCCTTTCCCAGTTTACTTTCCCTGAAACCTAGGTGAATGTGGGGAGGGCTTGAATTAAATAATGAGACATTACAAAGGGTAAGAGGCACAGTTAGGAGGACCTCTTCCATCATTAATACCAGATGAGGGGCCGGGAAGATAGCTCAGCGGCACAGCACCTGCCTGGCAAGCACAAGGTCCTGAGTTTGATTCCCGGTACCAAAAGAAAAAAAAAGAATACCAGATGAAATGAAAGGACCAGCATAGCTCCCAAGCTCAGTCAATGCACAAAATAAGGACAAACACTATTTCCTAGTGGTCCCAAGGAATTCTTTATTTTTCCTACCTCTCAATTACTCTTCCTCTCCACCATCTGTGAGGCTTCCTTGAGCCCCCATAGTGCCTGCTACACCCCTAGCACTTAGTACAGATAGCCATATTTTTCTAATTCCAGAATTTTAGGTTCTTTCCATGGTCCTTTCCACTCAGTAAAGGGGAAAGCTGGGGGACATGGCTGGCATGTCTCTCCCCCCGAGACAGATAGCATTTAGCATCTTAAAATAGAACACATTGTCATTTTTGTCACTGGGGCTTTTTTGTGCCTCTCCTTATTTGTAGAGGTCATGTGCCTTGTGCTCTTTTTGTTATCTCCAGTGGCACTTCAAATAATAAAGAGGTCCAGAGCTCCCAAGGACTAAGGCTACTTATAACAACACAAGATACTAAGATTTTACAGGCAGTTAATAGGTAGTAAATACAACAAGCATAAAGTAAAAACAATCTGCATTTGACTCAGCTCAGGTGTCCCTACTTAATTTCTCTAAGATTTGGTTTTGTTACACAATAACAACTTTTTGTCATGTCCTATTCTAAGTGATATATATATATTTTTTTCACTTAATCCTCACAACAAGCCTATGAGACAAGTAGTCTAAATTTGATAGATGAGAAACTGAGGAACTAAGAGTTGATGTAACCTGTTCATAACTATCAGTGTTGGAATTTGGATTCATATTGAAGCAGTATAGATCCATTAATCCTGCATCCACTATAATTTCTGGGGTTATAAGGGAAAAAAAGATAATAAACATAATCCAGCAGTGATACACATACCTGAGAGGCTGAGGCAGGGTGACTACAACTTTAAATCTAGCCTGGATAACCTAGTAACTTGGCAAGACTGTCTCAAAATAATAAAAAAAAAAGGAGCTAGGGACACAGTTCGGTATGAAGGCTCTAGGTTCAATCCCTAGTGTTGCACACACGTGCACATGCGTGCACACACACACACGCACACGCACACACAGACGCACACACAGAAGATAATAAACATAATTTTGTAGGTGGTAAAATATATACATTAAAGGACTATTTTTTTATTCTTTCCTTCACATTATCTTAACGCCATTTCTATTCAGCAGGAAAGGTTATACAATAGTCAGAAGATCCATGTGCCCCCCAAAATGAAATTTCCCACAATTTCCAAAGTTCAAGTCTGGGGCTGCCAGTAAGAAGATTCCCCAGTGTCTGATCTTGGCTGTTGGGATTAGAAAGACAGGAGTTTGGAGCCAGAGCCTATGGGACTATTTAGACTAGAATTGCAGTCAAAAGTAAAAACAAAACAAAACAAAACAAAAAAACCAAACAACAGTGCCAACTGAAAAGCAATCAGAGAGAAAATATTTTTCATATCCTGAGAAAAATCTTGCTGATACCCTTTGTCCAAGACATGGCAGGAACCCACGCCAGATCTGTGAACTATTTGGTGCCAGAGGACTTACTCTAAGTAGGCAGGGAGCCCGCCTGCTGAGACTTAGGTTGTTGACACAGAAATTTAACTGTGTTATGAGGGGGCTGTTCTAAGATGCAGACACTTGCCAACAGACTAGGTATTAAAGGAAAGAAGATGAAGGATATTTGCTGGAAGTTACCATCAAAAGAGGAGACTTAGGGGCTGGGGATTTAGCTCAGTGGCACAGTGCCTGCCTGGCAAGCGAAAGGTCATGAGTTCAATTCCTGGTACCGGAAAAAAACAAAAGAGGAGACTTCATGTGCCATGCCACAGCTGGCCATCTGAAAGAAGGAAAAAACAACCCTTTCTAGCTGGGGCCTGTTCATGTTAATTGCTGGCTGCCTGCTTCAGAAACAAACTAATTACCTCATTTGAAAATAAAGATTAGACAGCATTATTCAAAACAATCATAGTAATAGGGGCTCAAAGATTTCACAAGGTTATTTTCCAAAATTGACTACTGTAGTCATGGTGACACTATGTCCCAGTAACTATTATTAAGTTGATGAGACATTGCAGAAAAAAGTCAGATTTTTAAGCCATTTTTAGGTGACCACAAACCATGATGGTTATAAAATGAAGAAGACAGCTGGGTGTGGTGGCACACACCTGTAATCCAGCACTTGGGAGGCTGAGGCAGAAGGACCTTTGGGAGTTCGAGGCCAGCCTGAACTGCATAGTGAGACCCTGTCTCAAAAAGACAAAAAAAAAAAAAAAAATTGGGGGTATAAAGGATTACATTCACATTAGTCTCCAAGTCCCATTTTCTTTCTTTCTTTTTTTTTTTTTTTCTTAATTTGTTTGGGTTTTTGAGACAGGGTTTTACTTTGTAGTTCAGGCTGGCCTTAGCTATGTAGTCAAGGCTGGCCTCAAACTTACAGTGATCCTATTGCCTCAGCCTCCTGAGTGCTGGGATTACAGGTATGTGCCGCCACACCTAAGAAATAACCTTTAAAAGTCATTGACACTTGTGCAGGAAAGGATTTGCCCTTGGAACTGTATCAGGATCTGTTTTGTTGTGTTTGAGGGAGGAGGAGTGAATAACTGAATTTAAGCATTATTAGGAAGATGCCTTGAAATGAATCCAGAAAGGAATCTAAATTAACCTCTTAAATTATTTTTTTTCTTTTTTGGTACTGGGAATCTAACTCAGGACCTTGTGCTTGCCAGGCAGGTGCTGTGCCACTGAGGTATATCCGTGGCCCTTGTTTGGCTTTTTTTGAGACAGGGTCTTGCTATGTAGTTCAGACTAGTTTTGAACTCACTATGTAGCCCAGGCTGGCCTCAAACTTGCAACCATCCTCCTGCCTCAGCCTCCTGAGTGTTGGGATTACAGGCATGTGCCACTACGCCCAGCTGCCTCAGCCTCTTGAATGCTAGGATTACAGGTGTGTGCCACCACATCCCCTTTAAATTACTCGTTGCATGTAAGTGTATCTTCCACTTCCACCTTAACCATCCTGAAAGATGAGGAAAAACTACCTTTGGTCACTGGGTCCTGGATTGTGCTCCTTATTCTGGAAAAATGACAGCTTCTCATCTCACTGCCTATCCAGTAGTTGTGGCTTGTTCCTTGATGTTCAACCTGTCAATTAGCATTCACATCACACTGCATTCACTGCAGCTCTCTCAAAATCTCACCAGCCCCAAGAACCCAAAAAGCATTTGGATGTAAAACTGATGGCAATAAGGGATATTTTCTTTTTTGGTCACACCACTGGGTGAACTGCCCTGACACAGTACACACAGGGAAGAAAATTTAAAATGACAGTGAAAAAAAGGCACCTGCATCAGTAGTTTCAAAAGGCCAAAGTGGGGGAAAAAAATATCCTGAGCATGTTTTACAATGTCAAGATGTAAGATCTGAGGCTCTGATGTACATATCTTGAGGATCTCAGTGGCAAAAGAAAGATAAAAAGTGTGAAAAGAAAGCTTCCAAAATATGTAGCTTTGTTCTTGGCATGAAAATGTGGCAGATTCTGAGGAAATAAAGTTTTAAGAAAATCAAATGACTTTTTATATAAACAGACCAAATTTCACTCAGGAATTTTGGAATATTTTACCAACTTTAATGCAGCTCTGGTGGGACGTTGAAGGAGGTAAGAATTACTGGGATGATAGATATATCTGCCATGAGATTACCTGATCTGGTCAAGGTCATAAAATGGACCAGACTAAAACTCAGATGTTTTGCTAAAGCAAGGTAGGCTAGCTGAATGAAGGGCATCAAGAATGAGGCTACTGCTGGGCATGGTGGCACATGTTTATAATCCCAGGATTCGGGAGGCTGAGGCAGGGAGAGCAACCTAAGTTCGAGGCTAACCTAGGCTACACAGTGAGTTCAAGGTTAGAGTGTTTTTTGTTTTTTTGTCTTTTTGAGACAGGATCTCATTATGCAGTTCAGGCTGGTCTTGAACTCACTTTGTAGCTCAGGCTGGCCTCAAACTCATAATGATCCTCTTTCCTCAGCCTCCAGAATGCTAAGATTACAGATGTGCACCACCACACCTGGCCAGACTGAACTAGGTAGTGAGACCCTGTCCCAAAAACAAAAAGTTGCTATAGTACTTAGAAGTAAATGGTGCTGATTTGGACTTGGGGTTTCAGTAGTTAGTAGCTGGATTTGAGGTATATTTGACTGAGGGAATCGAGGATGACTTAGCATTTAGGTAGACAATGATACATAACCTTTATTGATATGGGGAAATAGTTTAAGGAAAGAGAATACGGAAGCAGAATCGATAGTTCTGTTTTGGTTAAGTCTGAGAGGCCTATTAAACATCCAAGTTACTCTGAGGAAGCAATCTTTTAGGGATGGAAATATAAATTTGAGTCATCAGTGTTTAGATGGTATTTGAAGCTATTGGATAAGATCATCTATAGAGAAACTACACAGCAGGGAAAAGTGCTTCCATATAAACCAGATTATGGATTGTGGACTCTATTAGAAGAGAAATCAGAATACACTGAAGAGTATAATTTGTAAAATTACATTACCAGATAGCTATGGATTTATTTATTTTTGGTGCTGGGAATTGAACTCAGGACCTTGCACTTGCCAGGCAGGCACTTGTGCTGCTGAGCTAGATCCCTAGGCTGATAGCTATGAATTTTTAAAAAAGTCTCTGTAGTTGTGAGAGACAACCCAAACAAGAACAGATGAAAGGGGACCAGCTAGGAGACTCCCACCTGATCCCCAGGCAAAAACTGAGCACAGTGGAAATGAAGGAAGTGGGCTGATTTGGAAGATGCCAGTGATCTGGTGACTTGGAGTGATGACAGGACAGCCAAGAATGACTTCTAGTTGCTTCAACAACTAATTGAGGAGATACAAGTGCTCCATCCTAAAGAGATGAGCCTTGGAAAGTACATTTTTGAGAGGAAGATGTAGAGCCCACTTCTGGATATGCTTGATTTTGAGTTGCCAGTGAGATTATCACACACTATTGGAATTGTGATGGGTTTACTACCTGCACATGTGTCAATAAAGAAACTGCAGTTCAGAAAAGTCACGGATCTCTAGCCCACGTATACCTGCTCACATCTTTCTATCCGCTTTCCTAGATGCTAAGATTCAAGAAGTACTAGCCAGGACTGTCCCCTACTCCGAGCACTGGGGAGGCTGAAGCAGGAGGATTTCAGCGAGTTCAAGGCCAACCTGAAATACTTGGTGAGACCTTGTCTCAAAAAAACTAATACCAGGGCCACGAATGTAGCTCAGCCGCACAGCGCCTGCTTGAAAAGCGTGCCACTGAGTTCGATTCTTGGTTTCGAAAAATGAAAAAATACACACACACAAAAAAATAAAGAAGCACTGCGTTATATGACTCAACTATTTACTTCCAATGTGCAATCAGGCTTTTGAAAGCCAGAAATTCATTCAGATCATTAGGACACGACTTGACAGAAAAAGCTGCGATGGGAGAAGTGGTGTTCTCACGGCAACTGTAAGAGCGGGTCGCCGCGGGCCCACGCGACCGCTTCCGCCGGGAGGCTCCCGCGCGGGGCCGAGCGAGCTGGGGAG